GCGGATTAGGGTTTTCCGTTAATTCGAGATTTTAGTTGTCATTTTTTCATCGATTTAGTCTACTCTTTATTGTAGTCCATGTATAATTATATACTTTATCCATGATAATTTTATGATTTTTCTTTTTGTGTGATGTAATTTAATGGTTAACAAATGTTTATATAGGGAAAAAACATTTCAATATTCACAAATTGATGAAAAAAAAGAAAGTTAATAATGTAGTACCCTCATTTCTTATTGAATTCCTAAAAGACAACATTTATAATGAATTTTAATAATTTTTTTGGATTTTTTTTAAAGCTTAATCAGACCAATTTGGCCGATTCCCGATCCGGATCACCGATTCACCAATCCGGATAGGTTTTTGGAGTGCCCAATCCGGGGCACCGATCCGTTTTTTAAACCACTAGGTGGATCCATCGATTCTTCTCCATTCCACGCGCTGTTCCTTAAGAATTATATTCCGGTTGACAAAACGAGACAGTCTTGGCCTCTCAATTATATTTTCTCTTGGAGTTGTCAAGCTTCTCTAGCAGTGGTGTAATTTGTTAAATATGAGGGCCCCCAAGGCATCTTTTTCATTACATACAATGCCGTACTTTTAGAATGAATAATTCTTTGTTACTATTGAAATTTGAGTATGTGGGAATTGATTCAAGAAAGAAAGATGTTTCAACACCTTTAATTCTGTACCTATGAAATGGTATTCATATTTAATGGCCCGTTATTATAGTTCTTTTTCTAGAGAATGTTAATATGAGTTGATCAAACATGACTGACATCTATGTTCAGTTTGTTATTCTATCGAGTTTCATTAATGATGAGAAAAAATGATGGACAATTTTTTCAAATTGTCTAACATTAAGCAACTACAATCTCAAGATCAAGAGGAATCTCCAAAATGTCACGCTGTAGTGATTGGCCTGGAAATTCTGTGACAAATGAGCAGTCAGTTAACAAATGAGTTCTTATTTCGAAAATTTCATGAACAAAATGTCATTAACATATTGAAAATTTGAAATATGTACAGGTGGATGGGTTCTCCAGTTTAGGAAAACCATAGCATTGTTTAGGCTGCTTCAAAGATAAGCCATTTTTGGTGCACTAATTGCACCAAGATTGGAAAGGTTTTCTCGGGCATTTGGGGAGGGGTGGTCCTCCATTAGGAAATGCATGGACGAATTTTTGCTATATATACTTTTTTTAAATTGTGGTTTTATTATTAATTTCACCAGATAAAAAGGAGTCCTTCATTTTGATCCCTTGAGATAAATACTGGACATTTATCCATAGATGAGATTTGGGGATACTCACGTGATGCAGTCACACTATCCTACTTGAAAACAAGAACAACAAAGAACTCTTTGGTATGGAGGTTAGAACAATAATCCTAAGCTTTGAACAATTTATGATAACCACTGTCGGGTTTTAATACTATGTTAGATTTCCTACTCAGTGAGGAAATGCAATTGCTTAATTAGATTAGGAGATCTGGTTGAATGTATACAGTTGGCTACGTATGCAAATGACTAAGTGGGTACAATCAAATAAAACAAGACAAAATAAAAGGTCCTAAACTTATCCTTTGTAGAAAGATTAAATTAAATACACAATACAATAATGAAATAGTGTCCCTTAATACAACATATGCAGTTTACGTAGACTCTCGAACATACCTTTTTTCAGGGCGGTAAGCCAGGATGTGAACCTTGGATGGCGTGTTACTATTCTCACACTAACATCCAATCCGAGAGGACAGACCTGATAGACTCCTTAACATACTTAATGAAACATATTTACAGCTCTTTAGTTTGTATTATTTCTGAATGTTCAAGTGCATAAATGTACATTAGGTTTATATGTTTATGTTTACATATTCACGTGCAAATTCCAATACAAATTCTGATGTTCTGTTTTTTCTGTACTTTGAGCACTCTTTTTTAGGGGGCTGTGATACCACTCTTAGAACGTAAATGTTCCTTACTTCCTTGTATTAGACTTCATTAGCGACCTCTTCTTTGTGATAGGTGGATGTTGACAGCACCATTGGCAAAGAGGCTTTTTCTCGTATAGCACCAGCAATTCCCACTGTAGCTGATGTTATAACTGGTCGCAATCTTTTTGATGTTCTTACTGGTTCGACAGAAAATCGACTTCCATTCCTTGTCTATGAAAAGTACCTTGCAGGATTGGAGAGGTCAGTACTCAGTGCCATATACATCCTTCAAGCTATATCAAATGTTTTTGAAGCAGATTCACGCTCAGTTATTTTATTGGGGCCTCCGGTTCATTTTCTGGTTGCTTCTGTCGATCACACATCCCATTTGCTGCAACCCCTGTATGAAGAAATATGGAGTTGATTGGTAGTTGTAATTCTAGATATTTTTCTAACAGAACCTTGATATAGCTAGGAAGCTATTTAATGGTTGCTTTGCTCATTATGGATGGCTTCTTTTGTTCTTGTTCTTGGTCTGTTGTTTATTCTTCTTAAATTATACGGCATTCATGAGGATTTTTTTCCTACGTGGTGCATGATATGTATTTCTAGAAGCATTAATAATGCATGCTATTATAGATTTTGTTGTTGACTACTCTAAGACTCATATTAAGGGTTTCAATTTCTAAAAGAAAAAATTTACTGTTATGCGGGTGGTGGTTTTAAGTTCCGAGGATTCTAACAAGAGGCTTTGGTTCCTGGAATCATTGATTCATTTGTGAGTGGTATATGTAACAAAAAAATTGTGATTATGGATCCAAGTCAGATTGTTGTGGGGTCGGATCAAATTGAGTCGCATAATGGTCTTCACCTGCAAGGAACACAGGAGAAAATTAGGTTATGAAAAAAAAAATGGAAACGCTGCTCAGGTATACTCTATGGAAGTTACTGATAAAAAAAAACTACAGAAAAAGAAATAAGATTTAAGCCGTGGAAACTAGAGAGCATAACATTTTACTAATGGGATTGTAGACATACATGTCCCTCAAGTACATTTTACTTGAAATTTTATATCACTATCCTAGAAGCAGGATTTCAAAATCGAGCCGAGACAACATTTTCCTATGGAAGAAAGTTATTTTATTGTTTGTGAAGGTAGACATTAAGTCCCATTGGATGAAATGGAGGAATTAGAAGTTTCTTAAGTTGATGAATTGCATGATGGACGATAACTAAAAAGTGGACAATGAGAAGAATGATTGAGGTAATGATGATGAGGACAGAACTATGGGATGTTATTTTCCATAGGAGACTTTTTCTTTTTAAATGCCATTTGATATATGAGAATCTTAAGTAGTTACCTCTCACAGATCAGGCATATGATTGTCCATAGTTAGCATTGCTCTTGCAGCCTAATCTAGTCCTATCCTACTTTGTGGTTGCAATAAATAAATTTTATTATTTGAATGTAAAATGAATGAATGTTTTTATGATTGGCACAAATGCATATTGGGTGGTTATTGAAAAACAATGAAATTTGCCTGATGGAAATGATCAGTTATTCTTTTCTTTTTCATTCTTAGATCCCCTTTTCCTGATTACAGTATTACTTAGTAAGCACTTATTATTCCTGATCAACCCCAAGTTCTGCTTTTCATCGAAAAAATAAAAAAAGGTAGAATTACCAAGATTTATGGCAATGTTGAATTGCGAGCTATGACTTTTTTACCGACCACTTTCTTCAGAACTCAAAGTGAGACCATTACCTTTTTCCCCTCGTGGAAAAATGTCCTTGCTAGATACATTGAAGTTTAGACCCCTACACATGATATATTAACAATAGGGTTATTGCTTGCCTTTCTTTAATACTAGGATTGCTCATTACTGGCAGGGTTATAAGAACAATGAGAGCCCAGTCGGAGTCATCTCAGCTTTCTGGTCTTCGAGCACCTAGAGGTGAAAGGATTCTTGATGTTGATGGCACTGTCACCACGCAGCCAGTTCTCCAACATGTTGGGATTTCTACATGGCCTGGTGAGCATTTGTTTTATGCGATGATGATTCTCTTCAGATGACATACCTCTTTCCCTTTTATTTCTTTCTTTTTTAAATAAAAAATTGTAAAATCCAAGACAAAAATAAAATTCTTTGAAAGTTCCCTTGATTATTAACATGCTCCTATCTGAGTTTATTGTGAAGTTCTGAAGCATCCAATGCAATTCCCCTTGAGTTCGACACCTTTCTCCTTCAAAAAGGAACTTTTATCATTAAATAGTTGGTCAAAATTCTAACATGAAAATCAACTCACCTCTGTAATTTGCAGGACGCTTAATTCTCACAGACTATGCACTATATTTTGAAGCTTTGCGAGTTGTATCTTATGACAAGGCAAAAGTGTATGACTTGGCAGATGACTTAAAGCAGGTTGTTAAGCCTGAACTGTCTGGTCCATGGGGTACACGTCTTTTTGACAAGGCGGTCATGTATAAATCCATTTCTTTGTAAGTTGACATATGATATTGACAGAACTATCCGAATGAACCCTGCAGTCTTTATGGTTATGGTATAATTCTTCCTAGTGTTTTACAGGTGAGGAAGTGTACTATAATCTATGGAAAACATAGGCCATTGGGCTTATCATGTGGCAATGGAGTGAGAGCAGGATCACCATTGATGTCATTTACTATTCTAGTGGGTCTCACCCTCTTTCTATTGCCGTTGGATGATGATAAGCCCATGTACTCTGTTCTTTCCCCTTGTACATGATAATATATTTCTCCTTGTGTAACATTTTTTATTTGTATAAATGGATTTTGCCTTATTCTTTCTCTGGTTGAGTAACAAATCTAAAACCATACACTAATCCAAGCAGCCAAACCTGTTTTGGGTTATTCTCCAAAGCTATTGCTTAATGTATATTACCATGTTATTTACAAAATGTTCTCTTTTTAGGTCTGAACCAGTAATCATGGAGTTTCCTGAGCTCACAGGGCACTCACGCCGTGATTATTGGTTAGCTATTATCAGGGAGATCCTTTATGCTCATAAGTTTCTTAGAAAGTTTCAAATCAAGGGTATTGAAAGTGAGGCGGCACTTTCAAAGGCAGTGTTAGGCATACTGCGTCTTCGAGCTATCGAAGAGGTCACTCATGCATTGCCTCCTAACTGTGAGACCCTTCTCATGTTCAACTTGGCAGATCAGCTTCCTGGGGGTGACTTAATATTGGAGGCACTTGCTGTCCTTTTTGCCTCAAGGGACGCTGAGCATAAGTCAGATGAAAATGGTATGCATTCAATTTCGGCCTTGGGCACTATGTCAAATTTGGGGTTTCTGTTGGGAAGAGGTCAGGGTGAGTTCAATGAAATTGGCCTTCCTGTTGGGGAGGTCATGGTGGGAGAGATGACCCTATTAGAAAGAGCTGTCGCAGATTCAATGAATAGCTTTAAGAAAGTGGAGCTGGCAAAAGCAACAGTTGATGGGGTCAAGGTGGAAGGCATTGACACCAATCTGGCAGTGATGAAGGTTTGATATATTTTTGCCTTCCTATTGTTATGCTAATTTTCCATTTTTCATCAAGTCAATACATTTACTTGTTAATATCAAGTGTTCGATTGACTGATGGGGCTCTTTGGGGTTTGAGTGATTGGTACTATGACTGTGACTTGTCAGTTTGGTGGTTCTGTTGAGTCAGATAACTCAAATTTAGGATATTTGATAATCTACTTTTTTCAGTAGTAACTAAAGTGACCCTAGCAAAATGAATAAATTTGAAAGTTAATTGCTCTTTAGAAGTCTTGGAAGCTGGACAAATTGTATTACACTAATCAAACCCCAGTTTGAAACCAATTTTATCTAAATCCATTTTTATATGATGTCTGAAGCCAAAGTGGTTCTAATGACCAGCATCCCAGTTGCAAAATGGTGGTTTTGACAAGGAATGTAAGAATAGCTTTGACAAGGTTCATAGTTATGTAGCATTGGGCTTAGCTAGGGACCAATGACATTTTTATGTTTGGTTAGGTGAATTTAAGTATTCTTCAGGGTACAGGATGGATATTTGAAGGCATTGGGTCCCTACTGCAACTTTTATTGGGTTTACCAAATATGTTATCTTACATGCATTACATGAATAGTCTGCAAATGGAGAAAAAGTTTGAACCTATATTCTATACAGAAACTTGGTCTGAGAAGTCTTTTATACTTTAATCGCAGGAGCTGCTTTTCCCCATTACAGAACTTGGTAACTATCTTCTTTCAATGGCTTCATGGGACGACCCCCTGAAATCTTTGATATTTTGCTGCATCGGTACTTTCATCATTTGCAGGTTTGCTTTCATATAATATGTGCAAATTCTTCTTTGATGCCTTTTGTGATAATTGGATGCATTGCATGGTAAACATAGCATGTATTCGTGAGTTCTAAGATATTGGATACTTGCATGTCCTTAGTCATGGTGATGTAGATAACTTGAAGAAACATAGAAAATCAGCAAGAAAGCACATTGACACTTGCAATTTTGGAGAAATCTTAAGGTTTTCTCCCACCTAGGGCTCAAGCCTTAGGCTTCTTTTCCTAAGACAAAGTCCTTTCTTTTCTTAAAATGGAATACATGAATGCCTCTCCAGCCCATCCATTCTCTTATTTATATTGGGAAATTATTGTTTTGGACAATATTTGTCCATGCAATTAACTTTTGACTAAAAGATCCGAACTTAAGTATAACTTGAAACTAAATTCCCTAACTTTAATTAAATATCTCAAAAGTCTCTAACTGGTCTATCAATAAAATAAATAAATAAAAAATCTGAAATAGCCTCTAAAACTAAAAAAACATGCAAACTATTTCTTGCTCTTGTTGTTCTTCTTGGAATCCCTTTTAAGGTTTTCATCATCCAAATATGAGGGAAAATGAGGAGGAATCTATCGCTCCCAAAGAAGATACTCGTGGCTACTTCTTGTGCTTTGATCAATGTCACATGGTCATTGTACTGGAGTCAAAATGATATGACATTTGTAGTAATATTGATATTGTATAATCAAGGAAACTTTATGTTGATGATAAGATAGTGTTTTTATTGAAATTCATTAACTATATAAATAGTATACTGCATTCTGATATATTCTAAAATATGTTATTAATGTAATAAAGGTATAAGATTCAGCGTGTAGTTTGCACATGGTCGCAACCATAAAAAATCAAAGTAAGGCGCACCTCCAAATTTTGTTATAAGATACAATTTTGGTGTAAGAAATTGTTAGGATGAAATCTATTTTCATCTATAATTTTAAAATTTTAAACTCCAAAAATGCTTCCAATCAGGCAGATCTATAAACACATGAAAATCTTGAAATGGATGGTCTAGATAATGTTTTGTACTAATTTTGGGACTTAAAATATATATTTTCTCCAAATCCATACATCTAGATGTCGAGATGATCAATTAGATGTCTTTCCAACATCAAAGCAGCCTTTGTCGAAAGTTTTTCGATGTGCAACTTAGTTCTCCATTTTAAGGTGTCAACCTTATATGAACTTTTTCCTATGGTATACATTATCCTTAGTAGAATGTGTCCTTACTTATATTCTTAGTAAATGTGATATGATATATATGCAAATTATATATTGTGAAAGTAATATATATGCATCCATGTATTGGACTAGGATATTGGCATCTGATCTGTGTTTGTATATTCTAAAATATGATATTGAATACTCTTGCTCCTTGTATTTGTATCCATATCTAGGCATATTTAGTTTTGCTCCATGGTTTTTATTAATTGTGATATCACCAATCTGACATAATATGAGTCTTGCGTCATATTCAAGTGATCTACATCTGCATGTGTGTTAATGAAGGCTTGTTTGCTGACAAGGTATGCTTATGTATTCGTGTCATGTGTTGTGATCATAGTTACACGAAGTGCCTTCACTAGGGGACACTCCCATTTTGGGAACACAAAAAAAACATTGTCTTGTGTTCCAGGGGTTGATCCTCCTTGGGAGCTACCTCCTGATTATATGGGAACTTGATCTCGTTAGCATGGGAACTCGATCTCATTTAAGATGGGATCGTGATCCATAGTCATTAAATATATTATTGGATTATTATTTTTCTGATTATTGATATGTGTTTGGATGAATTGTCAATTGTAAAGAAGACTAGTCGCTATTTCATCATATTATTGTAGTTTGTGTAGCTGTGTGTATATAAATGTTGATTATTGCCTTATATTGATAGGAGAAAGGGAATAGATCTCAAGGTTTCATGAACACATCTAAAGACTATGGTGGTTTATGGATCAGTTTCCTTTCTTGTCACAGCTTGACAATTTCAGTTATTTTTATCTACAGAGCTCTCATGCCATGGAAATTCTGTTGTGCATGTGTATATTGTTATTAAAAAATGAGTTGTCCTTTTAATTTTTTGCGATTTAACCCTATTTTAAAATCTCTCTCTCTCGCTCTCTCTCTATATATATATATATATAAATATATACATATGAAAAATTATCAAATAAAACCCTCTCTGACACCTACGTTTCTTTCCCATTTCTTTCCTAAGTGGCCCTATTACTCTTATTTAAACCTTCATCCAAACCATTCCATAGAACTCCCCTCCCCTTCTCAAGATATTCTCAATAATTTGTCTTTTTTAAGGTCGTTTATTCCCCCAAGGCATAAGACCCTCTCTTCTTTCTCTCTACCCTATCTTGTGATTCCCCAAATCCACTATTTTCTATATGTATCATAGGACCTGCCAGGAAAATACTCTCCACCAATTTATTGGTGCCAGGAAATTGATTTCTAGCAAAAGGCCCCGTCAAAATATACCTCAAACAAGCTCCGTGAGAGCTGGAATTTCCATTAACGCATCATTAAGTTATTAGAAAATGTAGATGCTAGTCTACCACTTCCTCCTGATCAAGATCCCAGACCTCAAGAACCATCTTTCTAGCACCAGGAAATGAAACAAAATCAACTAAACAACAACATTGTCAAATTTGCCCCTAATTTCTTGCTCCCTTGCCCCTTTTTTCTTGGATTATTAGAGAAGGGATCACTTTCATTATTGCTCACTAAACAAGAGAGAAGAGAGAGGCATGAAGGTTACTCTCACACTTGGCAACATAGAGAAAGTGAGGCATGAAGATTACTCTCACACTCGGCAACATATATATATATATATATATATATAT